AGTGCGCCATGCCGGCGGGAGAGGTCTCTCACCGCCCCCCGGGCCGTCTCGAAGGGCCGTGCAGCCCACGCCACGAGGCGCTGCTGGCGGGAGCCTGGAAGGACTTGGCCTCGTTGCACCGCGCCGCGTTGATTCGCGACCACCGTCGGCCGCGGACGGCGTCGGCGTGGCGGCCGCGGGCGCTCGCGAGACGCGCCGCTCTGCGCTGGTTCGGTTCGTTCGACTCGTTGTGCCGCCGCACGCCCGGCGGCCGCGGGTCCCAGAAGTGGTTGCGCGGGCCTCTTCCTTTCGGCCGCGGGACGGCGTCGGGCACGTCGTCGGTCGCAACAGCGGCGCGGCGAGCCGCGGCACGTCGTTGCTGGCGCTGGTGGCTTGAGGTCGGCATCGTCCAGAGGTCGACGAGTCTAGAGCTTCAGCTGGTCGGGTGCCATGTTTGTGCGGAAAGTGGCAAATATATCTCTTTCATTTTGTAGCGTATTACGGGGTTTGCGATGAGGAGCGATCCGAACGTGGCATTCGGCTCTACCGCCGAAACGCAAGAGCACTGCACTGCGACGCATCGCGCTCATGCTAGCATCTTCCACCTCGCTCGCGGGCGCCGCTGATCTTCAGAGATCGCTTAGTTAGCATTTCTAAGTCATAAGCGCCAAGTTCACGAGCTGGGCTTGTGGCGCTCAGCTAGGTCATGCACACCCTCTGGGCGGAGCCGAGCGGAGCCGAGCGAGACGAGCGGAGCCGAGTGGAGCCGAGTGGAGCCGAGCGGAGCCGAGCGGAGCCGAGCGAGCCGAGCGAGCCGAGCGGAGCCGAGCGGAGCCGAGCGGAGCCGAGCGGAGCCGAGCGGAGCCGAGCGGAGCCGAGCGGAGCCGAGCGGAGCCGAGCGGAGCGAGTGGAGCCGAACAGAGCTGCCACCGCACCATCTGGCGCTTAAGACTTAGAAACGCTAAGTGATCTCTCAATCTCTCTCCGATCTTCTGGCCCAGCGAGGCCGCTGCGGGACACATCGGCGGCTTGGTTCGCTATTTGGGGGTGCGGCGGCCGCTGGGCGAGGCGAGCGAGGAGGCGGCGGCGCTGCTTGCTGGCATGGCTCGACAGCCAGCGGCGGGCGGGTCAACGCGCGCGACTTGCTTGCGGGGTAGGCGATGTGAACGGCGTCATGTGCTGACATGATGCTTGCCGCCCAGAAAGAAGGGCCACGAGCGGGCGGTCGACCTGCTTGCTGCTGCTGCGAGGGGCGGATATCAATCGACTTGCGGGGTAGGGTCTCTTTTTGTTCTCCTCACTATAAAGACCGCGAAAAAAGACGCCAGAAAGTTCGCGCCGCGATGATTGCTCAATCTGTCACCCACCCAACAAGATGGCAACTCCGGCGGCCGACGCCGGCTACGAGCTCCTCCTCGCCAACAGCCTCGAGACGGTGAGGCGGGAGTTCTCTTTTGCGTGAAGAGTTCGTGCCGATGAGCGATGACGACTCTTGCCGAGCTGTCAACTGAGGACGACGGGCTGCCAGGACCATCGTCGCTCGCTGCGTCGTCCCGAAAGCGCGATCGTCTAGCTCTCGAGGGTGGCATGTCCGTTGAGACGCAAGTTCTTGCTCTAGAGCAGGCCGCGACGGCGTTGCACGCAGCTCTCTCTGCATCGCTGCAACCTTTGCGCGGAGGGGTGTTTGCCAGCCTCCGACTCGCCGGCGAGCACGCGTCCCTCATCAAGGCTTACCGGTCTCCGGACCCGTTCAACGTGCACACAGCCAAGGGACACACTTCCCCAATCTTCAGTTTTTGCGCCGACTTTCCCGCGCTCTTTGAGTTGCGGGATGGCCTCTACTACGCCGTCGCAGCCCCGACGTGGCTGCCCTTTGAGCACGACGACGACGAGGCCTTCAAGTGCGCCGAGGTGAAACACAACGCCTCGATTCCGGATGTGGGCTGGTCAGATGTCGTCAAGGCGAAGGACAACTTTGTGTCCTTCGTGCTCGGTGTCATTGATTCTTCGCCCCCTCCCGCTCCCGAAGACGCCGGCCTGGTGGCTCTCTTTGCGGACCAGATTCGCTCCCGGCAAAGGGGCGGGATTGTGACGACGATGCTCGACGTCGATCACTTGGCCTGCGCGCTTGTGGCCCTGCAGCGCCGCGCACAGGTCGCGTCACCGCGCTACGACGAGTCCGCCTCTCGGGGGCTTTGGCTGCTGGCCCGACTGGAGGGCAAGCGTGGCTCGCTGCTCCTGCCCGGAGCAGCGCTTGTGGAGGAGGGGCTGGGTGGGTCGATCGACAAGGCGTCACACCGTCGATCGCCCTCTCTGCACACACCGCCGCGTCTCACGGCCCTTCATCTCTGTCTAGGCGTTCACCGGCCTGTGCCTTCGGTTCTACGAGGAGGCGAACAACGGCGTGCTGCGGAAGGCCCGTATGGCGGAGCAGGCGCCGCAGCGCGTGCTTGCAGCGGGTGCGGCTTCCGTTAGCAGCGTCTCCGAGGCCGCGAGCGGGGCGGCGTCCTCCTCCTCGGACAGTCTACGCCTCAAGGCGCTTAGCCGCATTCCCTTTGAGTGTGGAGAGAGGCCCATTGCGCATTTTCTTCACTCCTGCCGCGCAGGCTCTCGCCACAGTAGTGCCGCACTTGCGCATGATCGCTGAGGCGGCGGCGGCCATCGGCTGGACGGGCGAGGCGCTCCAGCACACACTCTTCCCCATCGCGCTCATGAACAACGTCTTCGGCGACGACCTGCTCGACGCCATCCGCGTGAGCGCGGCATGCACCTTCGGAGAAATGCGGCTCCTCAATGCCGAGACAGGGCTAACTGTGGAGGACATGGGCGAGACGGAGAAGGCGCAGTCGCGCAAGGCGCGGCTCGACGGCTGCCGCCGTTGGCGGGAGGCCAAAGACCCTGCATACTTGGCCCCGACAACGGGGCAGGGGATGCACGCACGCGACCTCCGCGAGGAGGAGAAGCGTATGTGATTTTAAGCCGCTGGTGCAGGAAAATTCGTTGTACTTTGAGAGCGCCTTCGTTGTTAATAGTAAACCCAATGGTCCCTTGCGAGCGTTCCCTCGTCGCAGTCGCACAGAAAAAGAAAGAAAACAGACAACCCAAGGGAGGGATGGGAGGACGGTCGCACGCAGAGAAAAATTCTTTTATGCTGGCACCTTCATGTGCCCCGTTGCTGGACAGAGCGGCCAAACAGACTCTCAGGAGTCCTGTCCGTCGTTCATCAGCGACAGCTCCAAGGACGCCTCGCCGCAGCAGCTCCCATCCGCGGTGAGTCGCGTGCCGCGAGAGCAGAGCACTAGCGTGTCAGGCTTCTCGCCCTCGCAGCCCCTGTTCTCGCCCTCGCTGACTGGGCTGAGCAAGCAGGACGATGAGCTTGAGCCGACGGGGCAGCGTACTGGGCGCGCGGGCGCGGTAGAGGCAGGCGACGCCGTGTGGACGCAGGCCATTGCCCACCCAGTGGGCTGCGCCAGCTGCGCGGAACCGCTGGTGGGCGAGGGGCTGCCCATGCCTGGGTGTGGGCACCTGGTATTGTGCCCGCCGTGCTCGCGCGTGCTGCCGCAGCTAGGGCTAGGGCCGTCGGACATGGCGGACTGGTGCAGATTCTGCTCCACCATCGGGCGGCAAGGTTCGAATGCTGATGTCGGCGTCGCCGTGCTCGGACCACACGCGCCCTAGTCATCGCACACCTCCACACAGCCATCTAGGCATCGCGATGCGTGATCGTCCTCCGCAGCGCTAGAGCGCGCGCGCGCTAGAGCACAATAAATTGTGTGCAGCTCTATAATGAGAGTGCCGGCTCTCTCTGCTTGTGGTGGTGGGGGGGGCGGGGGGGGGGGCGGGGGGCGGCACGATTAATGTTGTCATATAATATCTGTGTGTGCGCTCGGTGAGCGATGTGCGTACACTCGAACACTTCACTCAGTCCTATCTCGCCATACCGCGCGAAAAAAACCGTCCACACCAGGGATTTTTGCGGGCGTTGCCGTTTTGGCTCACACGTCAACATAAGAGTACGGTAAGTGCCTGAGCTGTCCACACATGAACCGAATGGCGGTCTCGCGGCTCAGAGCGCCCTCATGATCTCCCGCAAGCAGATTGCCCCCTGCGCGCCCTCATTGGAGAGTGCCGTGAGCCGGACCACGAGGAAGTCCAGCCGGTCGTCCTCGCCCGAGGGAACGTACTGCGCCCGGCCAAGGCGGTGCAGCAGCAGCGACCGCCACAGCGCCTGCGCGAGGTGCGAGAGCATGGGGGCAGGCGCAGCCGGAGGCGCCGCCTGCGCCTCCTTCACCATTCCACCCTCGACGTCGCCGTCGCTCGCAGACTCCACGGCTGGCGGGCCCGAGGCTGGCGGGTGAGCCTCAATGTGGATCGCCGGTGGGAGCGCACACGACCACTCGTCGGATCGCCGCAGCACGAGCGCGAGGTCGGCGGCGCGCCCTGTGACCCCGTCGGCCGATCCGCTGATCTCAGTCGCCGCGATGTCGGGATAGACGATGGCGCCCCTTGGCAAAAAGAAATCGTGGCCTTTGTTGCTCGAGAGCTCGACCATGGCCCCTCGCGGCCCGTCCGCAAATGCCATGCGCAGAGTGCCCCTCGGGAGCGCCTTTTTCCCGGCACTCTTGCGTCGCACAGCAAGCCGGCCGTCGTCGAGCCGCCGCATGAGCACCTCGCCATAGCGGGGGCGCAGCTCGTGCTCCGCCTGCTCTGCGCCGACGGCGATGCGCAGCGGCGGCGCGCGGTCGCGCAGCAAGATGAGGTCATCGGAGCGGCGCGGGACCTCGTGCGCTTGGACCGCGTCGAGGAGGGCGCTGGGTCCCGGCAGCTGAGGGTGCGACGTGAGCGCGAGCGGCTCAGTCTCCTCTGCGCCGGGTCTTGAGACCCATATCGTCGAGCGGGTTGGCCCGTGCCGCGAGACGGCCCGCAGGTGGAGCATGCGCCTCGCGCCGCCGTTCACCTATGCGCGCGGATGGATGTGCCGTGCGGCAAAGAGAGGGAGCGGCAAGAGAGCGCGAGCACGCCTGCGCAATCTTGAGCAGCCAGTGCGCCTGCCCCGCCGCCGGCTCGCATCGGATGGCGGAGATCCGGCACACCGACTCCGTATCCGGGTAATGTGCCGGCGCTACGAAACAGCGGAAGTCGGACGATGCCCGGGCGGCCATGTTGGGCGCGCCCTCAGGAGCGGCAAAAGAATTTGGAGCGACTTCGCAGTCGAGCGCACACTCGAGATACCATACAGACATGGATGCGAAACAACGACAAGACCAAGGCACGGGCAGAGGAACGAGAGAAGAATATAGGGTGGATAAAGCGCCTGTTCACGGCATGGAGGGTGAGCCACACCGAACGTACCAAGCGAAGAGCCGAGCGGAAGGAAGCCGGGGAAGACGACCCCGAGGAGGACGAACCAGTGGAAATCCAGTTGTCAGCCGTCACGATGCATCCGAAGGGGACCCCAGCGCCGGCAGCATCCGTGGAGGCACAAGTATTCGAAGAGAGAGTGGACCTGAGCAACGATATGACTGGGCGGCAAATGATAGCAGTGGGCGTCAGAAGACTTGTCCTTGCTCGAGGAGAGCTCGATAGACTCGAGGGGCCAGGATATGCAGCAAGGAGGGCAGAGCTGCGCCGAGCAGCGAGAGCAAGGGAGCGGCAGGCGGCGGCGCCGTCGCAGGACGAGGCAGAGGAGAGCGACGCGATAGAGGAAGAAGCGACAAGGGAGACCACGACGAGAAGGGGGCGACCGCGAGGTGGCACGAAGGTTGAAGCGAGAATCGGCGAGAGGCTGCGAAGAGAGATAGGAAGAGGCGGACGCCCAAGGGTGGGCGACGGCTAGCGCACCACACCCCTCTCCTTAAAATCCCTGTGTGGTGGCGGCGTGCCGTCCTCCCATCCCTCCCTTGGGTTGTCCGTTTTCTTTCTTTCTTTCTTTTTACACTCGAGATGTCGTGTCCCTTGTCAGGAGCAGGAGAGCCCCACCTGTGCCCCTGATCGTCCTTCCAAAATCCTGCTCGTGCAGGTGTGGACCCTGTCCTTCTCCCCCATCCCTCGTTTGGTTTGTCTGTTTTCTTTCTTTCTTTCTTTCACACTCGAGAATAGGGAGTCCACCGTGCTGCGAACCTGTCGCTGTCCCTTTTGTCAGGAGCAGGAGAACTAGGAGAGCGCAACCAGTAGGAGGCCCGCGCCTGCCCCCGTGCCGCCGGGTGCAACTTTGTCCTATACGAGAGGGGAATCCCTGGGACCCTGTCGTGTGGGTGAACCCTGCCCAGCCCCCCTCCGTGTCGCGATGCGCTCCCCGCTCCCGTTCCCCTGTGTCCCTGATCGTCCTTACAAGATCCTGCTCGCGCAGGTGGGGACCCTGTCCTTCTCCCACCCCTTGTTTGGTGTGTCCGTTTTATTTATTTGTCATCATGCTGTCGTGCCTCTCCGCAGCCGCCGCGCTACCGCGGCCTCCGCCGCGGAAGGTGGCCCGCGCCTTCGCGAATCCCGTCTTGCGGCTTTTGCCGGATGCCCACCGCTTGGCCTCATTGCGGGGGCGGCCACCGGGCCGTGCCATGGCCGCCCCCGTAGCTCGCGAAGCTGCGAACCGGGCTGCGTCCACTGCGCCGCGCCGGCGCGCCGCGACCGTCGGCCCCCGGACTCGGTTCTTCGCGGCCTGCGCCGGAGAGTTGGCGGTCGTGCGCTGGGTGGTGATCGTCATCTGTCTGCTCTGCTGTGCTTCTCGCTCGTGCGTCCTTGGACTTGTGCTGACCTCCTTTCACCTCCTGCTCTCCTATGCCACGTGGCTGTGTGTGTTTGGGTTTCTATGTTTGCGATTTGGATTTTGGATTTTCCATTTGCACTTTGTTTATTTATTTATACAGCCGAGAAATTTATTTTAAGGCGCTATACACTCGCTCTGCACTGCACCACCTCCAATCGCGCCGCCTTGCACCTCTCCCTGCCCGAACCATGCAGCCTGCCGCTCCGGAAGACGCGCCGATCCACAGGAAATTGGAGCGAGTGGAAATCGTGCTCGGCTTCCACCTCCGCAGGCCGGAGGTCTTTGGCATGCGGAGCGGCGACATCAATGTCGCCATGTGGTCCGAGCCGCGCGACTCCTCAACCGCCTCGTTTCTACTCGGCGACAAGCCCCACGGCGTGCCTCATCTCTACAAGACGCCGTTTGGGCATTTCTTCAACTGTGCGTTCGAGGCTTTTGGTGCGGCGGCGACCGACACTGCGACCGCACACCCAAGTCGTCTCCCGTAACTGTGCCTTTGCTTCAGGCATGGCGAGCACGATGCCGCCCGACGAAAGCGGCGCCGCGCGGGCGTGCTGGGTGAAGAACGTCATGCTACATTTCGTCGACGGGGGGCAGTCCGTCTTCCACGGCTACCCGATGGCCTATCGATTCTTCGAGCAGGCTGATGGCGGGTGGTCGAGGTGGTATGGCAACGAGATATTTCTGAAGAGCCTCGACACGAGCGACTGGCAATCGCTGCCCAAGCCCCCACCGCTATGGCTCCCGGGCCAGGCAGTCAAGGAGGGCGCGGTGAGGAGGGGGCGCGTCCGTGCGTGTTTGCTCGAGGCCTTGAGTTTACCATTCCCGGTGGGCGTCTCGTCTTGTAGGTGATGCCTGACCCGCATGGACGATTGATGGACGCTGCGGCGTTCGCCAGCAGCCAACTGCGGCAAGTGTTCCTAAAGGACCGGATGCCGAGGTGCCCGGCCGCGGCCGCAGCGACGGACGGAGGCGAGGCCGAGGGCGGCGGCGATGGCGGAGTATAAGGAGGGGCCCGTCGAATCCCTGGTGTGGACGGTTCTTTTTCGCGGTATCCGCGGCGGGATACGGCGGGATATGGCGGGGTATGGCGGGATACCGGGAGATACCGGGAGATACCAGGAGATACCAGGCGGGAGATACCAGGCGTCGGCCGGTCCGACCGGACGCTGCAGTCGCTGTCGTCCTCGCTCTCGTCCATGGCCGAGAAGCGTAGACTATAGTCGAGCGCGTCGGAGAGTGTGTTTCGACACGGAGTGGTGAGCGAGCCGAGGCGAGAACACGGCGAAAAATTTGACGCGTCGCACAACAGTAAAGCCCCCCCCCCCCCCCCCCACACACACATACACTCGCAGATCCGAGAAAAAGAGTTTACCTGTCCACTACATGGGAGGAAATCGCAATGCGCTCCCCGCTCCCTGTGTCTCTGATCGTCCTAGTTAGTCCTAGACTAGGTTCTAGGTAACCTAGACAAGATCCTGCTCGGCAGGTGGGGACGACCCTGTCCTACTCCCACCACTTTTTTGTGTCCGTTTTATTTATTTTATGGGCCAGAATTGGAGAGAGAGAGAGAGAGATGTTTTTGTTTTTGTTTTGCAGAATTGGCAACTCCACCGCACCATCATACTCGCTGTCAGTCGCGTCAGAAGAGCTTCACATGGCAGAGTGCGCACACTTCTACAGTCAGTCTGTATTGGGAGAGAGAGATTTGGCCTGTCCAAGGGTTTCCTCTCGCACCCTACCTGGTTTCCTTTCCGTGTTTCATGCTAGTTTCCCTAGAGCACCCTCTAGTTTCCTGGGGAAACTCCGTGGAAATGATCAATTTCCCGGGCGTCTGAGCCGAGTCTGGGTGAGGCTGATTTGGGCCCCAAATCAGCCAAATCGGCAAAATACCGGGGTGTTTTGCGGGTATACCTGCAACCCCCCCGGGTATACCTGCTACCTGGACAATACCAGGTAGTTTGCCGATTTCCTAAATTTTGCCCCAGATTTTGCCCCAGACCAGCTCTCTCCTGACTCCTCTCTCAGACTCACTCAGGGAAACTCGCGAGTTTCCCGCGAGGGAAACTCGAGAGAAACAGAATGGAGGGCAATGGAGCTCCAAGCAAACCACCATCTGGAAACTTCTGGAAACGCAAAGTGCTGGGGACCCTCTGGTTTCCCTCTGGATTGAGGAAACCCTTGGACAGGCCAAAGTGCAAAGAGAGATTTTAGAAAAACAGAAATTCTCGTGTATTGTTTTGTTTGTATTGGTGGGCTGGGGGCATAACCCCAAACACAAAAGAGTTGTTTGGGAGGGGTCGGCGTACCATGCGGAATCGACCCTATCCAGTGCTCAAGTGCTCAAGTTGTTTGGGAGAGATTTCTTGTCGTGAAAATCAACAAGAAATCACGATGCGCACAGTGATTTGGGCTCGGCAGCTTGTTTGAGAGAGAGAGAGAGAGTCTTGTCAGCCCTCAGCCTAGCTAGGCGCTAGGGCGGTCCCGTAGCCGAGAGAGCCCGCACCGATGAGTTCGAGTGCTTTGCCGCGCCGGGGCTAACCCACTCCGGAGTTTGGCTCATCCCGGCTGTCGGACGGTTTGATATGGGCGGCCGCGACTTCACCTGCGCCCTCGACGCATTTGGGAAATGGTCCGTCGCTCCCCGCGCCGGCGCACACGACCGCACTCGATTTGTACCGGATTTCGATGCTAGTGGCAAAACTGCGGGACCGAAAATGGCGTTTCATTTCGCGCACCTGCTGTCCGCCGCCTGCGGCGGCGGCGCTCCGCACCCCTGGGCGCGCTGCGAGATGGTGACCGGACCCGCCCGCGCTCTCCCAGGCACAAGTTCGAGCTCGACTCGGACAGAGGCGCCATCTGCTTCACGGCCGAGTTCATGCAGACGGGCTTCTTCAACGAGTCGACCAAGGCCGGCACCGTCGGCGCCGGCATGCTGTTTTCCGAGACAGTCCCTCCGCGCCCGCTGGCGGTGCGCCTTCGGGCGATGACGGCCCCCAACGACAACGCGTTTGTCAACACCATCTCGGTGGGCGGGCAGCACGTCGCTCTGACAGACAGCCCGGACAGGCTCGCCTTCTCGCTCAGCTCGCTGGCGGTGCGAGGCAAGCTCCGCTTTGACTCCTCGGCTCGCTACCCGCGCCGCGCCCTTTACCTGGAGACCCTCGGGTCGGCGCACCCTGTCCCGCGGCCCGGCTCGCAGACGCCGCTCGGGCTGTCGATTGCCGTGCGCACGCCCTTCATGGACCAGTCCGAGGTGAGCGTGTACGCGTGGAGTGGCCCCACCACCAGAGAGCTGCTGGCACGGCTGCCGGTCAAGGACCGGGTGCCGTACCTGCACTCGTTTGGGGTGCTGCGCCGGGCGGTGCGCTATAGCCTCGAGCGCTAGCCCTCGCTCACCATGCACGCTCACCAAACTGAGGGGAGTAGCTGGAGAGGCGTGCCGGCTCGCGGCCGCAGGTGCTGCTACCTCTGCAGCCGCTCAGCGTCGACATGCGGCCCGCCCTCTTCGGCACACCGCTGCAGGCGAGCAGAGAGAGCGAGCGAGCGAGCGAGCGAGCGAGCGAGAGAGAGAGAGAGAGAGAGAGAGAGAGAGAGAGAGAGAGAGAGAGAGAGAGAGAGAGAGAGAGGACACGAGCTGCAGGCGAGTAGAGAGAGAGATATAGCGGGCTACGAGCTGCAGGCGAGCAGAGAGCACAGAGCGGTGTCGAGGGCCTCCCGCCGCGGCCCCCCGAGGCATTAGGCAGCCACCACCCCCGCTGCAGGGCCTGATGCGCGAGCTCTCCCCATATCTCCCCATATCTCCGCCGTATCTCCCCATATCTCGTCTGCAGGGCCTGATGCGCGAGCTCTCCGTCAACACCACCTTCGTCGTGCTGCCGCTCGCCGGCGGTGGCACCACCCTCCGCACCTTTAACGCAGGCGGGCGCTACTTCTTCACGCACGTCATCAACACGTACGAGGAGGGCGAGGGCGACGCCGCCACCCTGGTGTTCGACGCGTGTGTCTCGCACCTCAACCCGTTCCACTCGACCGCCATCGCCATCGCCGCGCAGCGCAACAAGACGCGGCGCGACGCCGGCGGCGCCATGATGCACGCGCGCCGCTTCGTGATCCGCATCGCAGGCCCTCGGCGCGGCGAGGTGGTGTCGTCCCTCCTTTCGCGCGCCGGCCGCGAGGCCGACTTCCCGCAGATCGACAGCCGCTACCGAGGACGCAAGCACTGCATCTACTGGGCCGTCCTCTGGCGTGCCGATGGCGTCGCTTACGGCGCAATGGCGATCGATCGCACAGACGTTTGCCGCGGCGAGCCGTGCACGCGCCGCGCGGGGCGACACGCCTCCCCCCTCTCACCGCTGGCCGCCCCCGCCTCCAGGCAAAGTCACGACGTGGATGCGGCCGGCCAGCTTCCCGTCCGAGCCGACCTTCCTCGCCTCGGGTGAAGAGGAGGGGCAGGGCGCGCTGCTCGTGACGGTGCTCAACGGAACTAGCGGCCGCTCGTCCTTCCTCACGCTGGATGCTACCACGATGCAGCCGACCCTCGAGGTACCGCTGCCGGTGCGGATACCCTTCACCACGCATGGGCAGTGGTACCCGCCCGGTGGCTAGGTCGCATCTCCACACACCCAATGAGCTCCACTGCAAAGTACCCCCCCCTTGCATGCCCGATCGTGTGTGTGTATGTGTGTGTTTGAGATTGGAAGATACTGTAAGTTGAATCGTCTCCTCAGATACATACATACTCTCTATCCTACACACGGCTACGACTGACGGCTTGTGTGCAGCAGCCAGCACACACGTGTACACACACCCGTATATGCGGAGATCGTATGCCGGAACACTGTCCGTCACACGCAAAATATGACACGCAATGGCCAATTCTCAGATCTCACATATGACATAAGTCGACCGTCACAGTCTCGCGAGCGCGAGCCGACACTGTATCTTACGTGATTGTACGCGTGTCTCTGCAGGTGCGGCTCTCTATGTGCAAGATAGGAACTAAAGATGCGAGACGCCGTCAGCAAGCCACTGCCGCGTGGAACCGGACCTTGAGTGGCGCCTCGCCCGGCAAGTCAACCACGTATCGGTCCCCCTCGACGTCTCGGATTGACCCGGCGCGACCGTTGAGCTGCGGTCGCGAGATGACGTCTTGGATGGTCACACGCGTCCTCTGTGGCAATATCACGTTCTCCGGCTTGAGCGCCACGACGCCCTTGCTCGTGAGGCCCTCCATCCGGTAGCGCTTTGTAGCGCGATCAAACGTGGCAGCGGCCGCCACCTTACCATTGAGCTGCGGCTGCGAGGTTCCAACCACGCGCGCCTCGGCCACCACCTGGCTCACGTTCTGGGTGCGGACAGCGAGAGAGACGCCCTTCCCGAGAGACACCACATAGCGGCCTCGCGCCTCGTCCCACTGGTCGATAGTGCCAGATGCGCCGTTGAAGTTCGCTTGGCTGAGGTCGCAGAGTCGAACGGGCGTGCCGTGCGGCAGCACGTCGGCACGAGGAGCACGCCGTCCACCGCTGGCAATGCCCGTGCTGCGTCGCAAGCCACTGAGCCCGGCAAAGATGTCGTCGAACGGGTCGTCTGCCGACCTAAACGGGTCGCCCTGCGAAAAGAACTGGCGGAAGAGCTCTTCGGCTCGCGCGTTGTCCATGCTGCGTCCACCTCCGCCCGACGAGAAGGTGAACTTCACTCCACCGTCCATTGGCCTCCCGCCCATCCCGCCAAACCCACCTGGCATGCCGCCGCCGCCACAGCCGCCGCCGCCGCCACCGGCCTTGAGCCCCTCCTCTCCATACTGGTCGTAAATGGTGCGCTTTTGCTTGTCGGACAGCACCTCGTAAGCTGCAGCCGCGTCTTTGAACCGCTCCTCGGCGGCTGCACGTTCCGACTCTGACTTGGAAGTCCACTTGTCTGGATGCCACTTTACCGCTTGCTTGCGGTATCCGCGCTTGATCTGCTCGTCGTCTGCGTCACGACCTACACCGAGTATGGCGTAGTAGTCCTTGCCCATGCCTGCGTTTGCGATCGTGGCTTCTCCTCCTCTTCTCCTCCTCCTCCTCCTCCTCTTGCGACACGCTCTGGACCACTCTGGACCGGAGCAGGTGATTTTATTTTTGCTTGGGCGGCCAGCGAAATTCTTTGAAAACCTTTGCCCTACCTACCTACCTACCTACCCTACTTATGGGAAACTAAAAAGAAATCACGGGCGATACCAACTAAAGTGATGGTCCGGCGCGAAGAGAGGGGGAAACCCGACGGGAGGGCCCAGACCTACCCTACCTACCCCGGCATGCTGGCCGCCCAAGCAAAAATAAAATACACCTGACCCAGAAAAGAATTCGAGGAAAACCACAAAGGTTCCTCCTTCCCGCGTTTGGTCGCGCTGTGTCCAGAACGTCGAGGTTGTCTGCCTCGATTGTTGTGTGCGTGTCTTGGGTCCGGAGCAATCCCGAGGGATCCAGCTGATCTGGACCGCTCGATTGGAACACACTGCAAGTCGCCGAACCACGCACTCGCCTGGTAACACTCGGGCCCGTGATGCTGGACCTCATGCACCCGTTCGACGACTACTACGGCAGGGGCAACCCATCGCGAGACACGGCGTACTACGACCGCATGCCTCACCAGTCGCATGGCTACAACCCGCACCAGCGCGCGCCTCGCAGCACTACCGACCCGTACAGCCACGCGCCTTCTAGCAATGCGCCTTCGTCCACCGCAGTGCCAAAGATCACGACCAGCTCTGCGAGCGACGAGTACATCATCGCGGCCAGCCCACCCTCCGGGCACGATCTCCGCGGTGCACAAGCCGTCCTTGTCGGCCCCTTTGAGCTCCAACTCACCGGAGTGGTGCAGCCTAAGGATGCCGCCTACGAGTACCTGACAAGTGGCCGCACCGGAGTCTACGCCGCTCCGGGCAGGAGGGGACTGCTTGGCGTCGCCCCACCGCGCAGTCTCCTCCGCGGCGATGCGCCGACCCAGGGCTGGATTGCGCTAGAGAGCGAGCACGGCTGGGTCCACACAGGAGACGTGCAGCTCTTGTCTCGCCCAGCGCAGCCACGCCACTTCGCGCGCACCGTCGAGCTCCCCGCCGACGCGCTGACGCGCCACGCCTCGAGCCACACGCTCGCAGCGGGTGGGCTCCAGGTGTGCATCCCACGCCAGGCGGCGCGCGTTGCGAAGAGGCCTGCATCAAAGGCCGCCCCGCCAAAGGCCCCCCCGACAAAATCCGCCCCAAAGACGGTGGTGGCAGAAGAAGCCGTCCCTGGCGATGGCGGGAGGTTGACGGCGGCAGCAATCCGCAAGCCTGCCGCACCAAAGGCTGCTCCGCCTAAGGCTGCCACGTCCAGGCGCGCGGCGCCCAAGGCGGCGGCAGCAACCACCGAGGCTTCTGCAGAGGCGTCCCACAAGCGCGCCGCTGCTGCCGCAACGTCCAAGCCGCCCGCAGCCGGCATTGGCCGGCACCTTCCCATGTCCGAGGCCGGACCCGTCCTGATGGAGGTGGAGGCGGCCGCCACCAACATTCAGCTACCTCAGGAGACGATCCAGCACTGGCGAGCGAGCGCGAGTGGCGGCTTTGTGCCGTGCCACGACGATTGAGTGGAGGTCGGGCCGTGGTTTTCATCGTATCTGACTAGTCATGGTGAACAAGGACCGTATAGGGTGGTGTTTAGTTCGTCTCTGTCTGTCGTGCAGCGTGAGTGACTCGCTCGGTCGGACACAGCCTACCTATTGACTCGTAAAATTACTTCGTCTCTTCAACAAACAAAAGACCACGCCTTAGTGAAAAGCTACCCACACCGTCTCCGCGCGGAGAGTCTTCACGTGCGAGAGACTCTATTTGCACGAAGTAATGCCGCACCGCAACGCCGTAAAAGAGGATTTGGATTTTTGCGACGCGGAATGGAGGCGGCCATCAAACCTCACGATGCGCGCGACAGCTGCTGACGATCTTCGAGCCCAGAGACTGCAATGCGCAGGGAGAATGGTGGCGTTTGGCGACCCTTGCGCCTCAGAGGTCCTCGTCGTGATTGCCATGGAGAAGCCAGGGCCAGGAGCGCCAGAGGTGCACGACGTTACCTCGCTCCACACCCACTGACCAATGAAGCTACTGACCACTGTAGCACCGGCGTGGGCGAACAACCTGCCCTTCTCGTACGCGCTCGAGTCCAGCCGGTTTCCCGGTGCTGGCAAAAGCGAGGCCGGCATGTACCTGAGCTATATCAATCGCGAGTGAGTGGAGAGGGGAAGAACTGACCCGGTCCACCTCCCTTATCCCATGCCTCGACCCCTCCAACCTCAGGTACAACGCCTTGCCGGAATACAGCGTCTTCCTCCACGGCCACAAGAGCCGTGATGGCGCTGGCTGGCACAGCCTTCCTCCAGCGGTGGAGCTAGCGACTATTCGCCAAGCAATGCTAGAGGGGGATCTGGACTACGCCTCTCTCAATAAGGCCTTGGTGTACGGCCACCTCCCGATGGACCTCGGCGCTTTGCGCATCTTTCACGCGCTGAGCGGCCTGTCGAAGGCCTTGCCGCCACTGCCGCCCCGCCGCGAGTGCTTCCTGTTCATGTGCTGTGCCCAGTTTGTCGCGTCGCGGAGGGCGATCCGCGCGCACCCGCGGTCGCTTTACCACGCTCTGGCGGAGATTGAGGCCCGGACGGCGCCTCTAGCTCTCTCCTCCGTGGGGTTCACGACGCTCGAGGGCACCACCATAGACGGGGCGAAGGCGGTGGGAGTGCTGCTAGAGTACACCTGGCACGCCATCTTTGGGCGGCCGTGGCTAGATGGGCAGCCCGTCGCAGGCGCCCGCGGAGCACTCTCTGCGCACAACCACACGCTCGCGTTCCCTAGCGAGTGCGGGCGGTACATGCACCTCAACGCCTCTCTCGCCGACACGCCCCTCGCGCGCCCCGGCGACCCGGACGCGCCCCTCGGCGTGGGGCTGCCTGGACACTGGCGCATGTTCAAGAACAGACTCTTTCGCAGGGACTGAGCTACCGCGGCTGTGTGTGAGCCATGGAAAGAAAGAAAGAAAATAGACAAGCCAAAGGAAGGATGTGTGTGAGCCATGGCAGTGGCCGCTCTCGACCGAATGCGGAATGGCCTCGGATACGTCAGTTAGTTGTGTTTGGCCGGGGTCGTTTCCCTGGCAACCTGCACAGACTTTAGGCTGAGACAGTACCGCTTCTCTCACTACCACGGTATGTATGTATGTGCACACTGACAAAGAAGAAAGAAAGAAAACGGAACCCAAGGGAGGGATGGGAGGACGGCACGCCGCTCCACCACACAGGGATTTTAAAAAGAAAGAAAGAAAGAAAACGGAACAACCCAAGGGAGGGATGCGGGGAGGACGGCACGCCGCCACCACACAGGGATTTTAAGGAGAGGGGTGAGGTGCACAGGGATTTTAAAAAGAAAGAAAGAAAGAAAACAGACAACCCAAGGGAGGGATGGGAGAACGGCACGCCGCCACCACACAGGGATTTTAAGGAGAGGTGTGTGATGCGCTAGCCGTCGCCCACCCTGGGGAGTCTGCCTCTTCGTATCTCTTTTCGCAGTCTCTCGCCGCTTCTCGCTGCAACCTTCATGCCACCTCGCGGCCGTCCCACTCTCGTCGCTCTCTCCCTTGTCACTTCCTCCTCTGTCGCGTCGTTCTCTTCTGCCTCGTCCTGCGGCGCCGCCGCCTGCCGGTCCCTTGTTCTCGCGGCTTCTTTCGCCTTTCGGCGCAACTCCGTCCTCCTCGCGGCGTATCCTGGCCCCTCGAGTCTATCGAGCTCCCCTCGCGCAAGGACCACATTTCTGACTCCCACTCCGATCATTTGCCTACAGGTCATGTTGTTGCTCAGGTCCACTCTCTCTTCGAACACTCGTGCCTCTACGGATGATGCCGGCGCTGGAGTCCCCTTCGGATGCATCGTGACATCTGACAACTGAATTTCCACTGGTTCGTCCTCCTCTGAGTCATCTTCCCCGTCCTCCTTCCGCTCGGCTCTTCGCTCGGTACGTTCGGTGTGGCTCACCCTCCATGCCGTGAACAGGCGCTTTATCCACCCTATATTCTTCTCTCGTTCCTCTGCCCGTGCCTTGGTCTTGTCGTTGTTTCGCACCCATGTCTGTATGGCAATCGAGGCTGCCTTCCCCACTACCTGTAGTTCACTCGTCACCTCTCCCGCGAGCTCCCTTCTCTTTCTTTCGGGTATGGAGTCCGTGAGTGCGGGTAGCGTGCAGGCAATCACGGGCGCTATTTTGTCGTACTCCTCTTCGGCGAGCGCCCCAAATCTAGACCCTTTCGCCTTTAAGGAGGCTGCCCTCGCTCGTCTCAGGAATGTGGCGGTGTCTTTAATGCACACTGACAGATCCTGCGAAAATTCTTTGTTGCCGAGCCTGTGCTAAAAAAAAAGAAAGAAAACAGACACGCCAAACGAGGGATGGGACGAGGACAAAGTCCCCACCTGCACGAGCAGGATTTTGGAAGGACGATCAGGGGGACAGGTGGGGCTCTCCTGCTCCTGACAAGGGACACGACAGCCTGTGTGCTGTGAGAGAGATTGGGGTGCTTTAAATTCTTTGTTGCCTGGCGCTCTTGCCACTGGCATTTCTGGCGGAGCGCGTCCACACTGCGTCGGCAAACGCGACGCAGGAGCTCGCTCGCTGCTGCCGAGATGCTGCCTACGAACAAGGAGAACGCGCGACGCGCCAATCTCAAGAAGCGTCGGCTGAGCCTCGAGAAGAAAAAGCCCGCGGTCCCGACGCAGCCCGTCGATCCGCACGCATCCTCTGCAGAAGCGGCCGCCGCGCCTGCTCCGCTTGGCTCGCCTGCACCCATGCCCGGCATGATTGATGTGCGCTCCTTGCGGCAGAACGCCGGCCCTGCTGCCAGGCCTGGGCCACTGCCACGCTCTCCCGCCGAGCTGTGCCCGCGTCTGCCTCACGTCCAGACGCTGCTCGGTTCGCGGTCTTGCGCCGCCTCCCTCCCTCACGGGCTGCCTGTGCCGCATGGGCTGCTCGAGCTCCTCGAGGAGGAGAGCGGTCTGCCGCGAGAGTCGGCTGCCGAGCGTGGCCCCGCCAACCCTGCGGCTCACACTCAGCAGCCCGACCCGGCTGCTCCCTGTGCACCGAGCGCGCCTGCCCCGTCGCACGGGGCAGGCGAGAGGGTTCCGCCGCCGGGAGGGATGATGGGGCGCGCGGCCGGCTCGGCGTCGGCGCGCGCTGTGCCCGCGGTCCCACCCGCCAACTTGCCCGCGGCAACGCCCCACCCTCCGCCGCCAGCGGTACGGAAGGCGCCAACGCCCCAGCCTCCGCCTCCGCCTCCACCTCCGCCTCCGCCTCCACCGCTGCAACCTCCGCCGCAACCTCCGCCGCAACTTCCGCCGGCGCCCGCTCCGCGAGCCCCTCCTCCGCCGGCGCCCGCCTCGCCGGCCGTCACTCCAGCTCCACCTGTGGACATGCCTCGGACAAGTCCTGGACGTGTCTTGGACATGTCCGGCTCGCCGGCCGGCACTCCAGCACCCAGGCGACGCGACAGATTCGGAGCAGCGGCCTCGACGCCCGGGACCAGCTCGCAGCAGGAGGTGCTTGCGTACGCCCAGAGCCGCGCCGCGCTCCAGACGCCCATCGCCGCCGCGCAGCGAGGGCACGGCCACAGCCCGCTGCGGCCGTCGCCGCAGCCGCCGCCGCAGCCACCGCCGCAGCCACCGCCGCAGCCGTCGACCGGACAGCCCGGGGGGCAGCGGCCGGGGCAGTCCAGATCATGGCCCGCGCCGCCTCGCACGCCGCTGCAGCCACAGCCGCTGCAGCCGCTGCACCAGCCCCTGCACCCGCCGCCGCCGTTGCACCAGCCGTCGCCGTCGCAGCTGCCGCCCCCGTCGAGGCAGCCTTGGCACCACGGTTGGGTGGCGGTGGGTGCAAGAGCTGTGGGTGGCGTCCCTTCACAGCCGTGCGTGTGGGTAGGCACGACGACGACGACGACGACGACGACGCGTTGGACGCGGCGGCATGGTACGGCGTGGATTTGGCGGCGACCGCGCAGCCGCAGCCGCTGCCGCTGCCGCTGCAGCCGCAACCGCTGCAGGCACCGGCGCCGGCGCCGCAGCAGCATTGGCTACCGCCGCAGCATTCGGCGCCGCCGCCGGCATCTTGCTCTCGAGCTACGCGGTGTTATTTGCGGGCCGCGCCCCTTCACACCCGTCGGTGGGAACAGGCGTCTCGGCCGGCACCGCCGCCGCGCGCGCAGTGGCGAGACTCAGATTCGTTGGCGCTGGCTGCGCCTCCACAGCAGCTGGCACCGGCTGCGCCTCCACAGCAGCCGCGCGGTGCGGGGGCGTCGGGGTGGCAACGCGCCGCGCAGCCGGCCGCGTCGCACTTCTCCTTGCCCCACCCAGCTGCCGCGTCCCCACGCGCTTGCCCCGCCGCCTTCCCCGCCGCTTTCCCCGCCGCCGCCGCCGCCTTCCCCGCCGCCTTCCCCGCCGCCTTCCCCGCCGCCGCTCCCGGGCCACTCCACGGCTCGCAGCACCCGGCGGCCCCCTCTGCAGCGCGGCAGAGCCCGCCCGCGTTTCCCCCGCCGCTGTGGTCCTCCCCCGCCGCCGCGCCGCCAGCTTGGGTCACGGCCAGCGCCCCGCCACCGCCCGCCGCCACCTCTCGCTCCCCCGCCCACCCTGGCCGCACCTCCGCGCGCGGCACGCCGCACGTCGCCCCGCCCGCGGCCAGCCGACCGCTGCACGGCGCACCGTACCAGGACGCCTACTTGCCGCAGCCGGCCTCCGCCCTCCCTCGAGCCCTCCTCGACGCTTCCTCGCGAACCTTCCGCGAAGCTTCCTGTAGGGCGCGTGCCGGCCGCTGTCGCCGTGCGCCATGTGCGGCGCTTCCTTCGCGGCTCGGTCGAGCGGCGAGCAGCTGTGCGCCGACTCTGGCCCCTCTCGTGCCACACGCACGCCAGCTCCTAGTCCGACGCACGGGCGGTGGCTTGTCTCGCTTGTAGGTGCGCGGAGTGCATCTCGGCGGTTGGCGCGTTTTGACCCCCTTTTGGAGAGCTTCCCGCCCGCCCGTTCTCCGTCGCTTCTTCTCTGTGGCCTCTGAGAGCACGTGAGCAGGCTGGTGGTGATTGAGGCGTGTGCTCGTTTACGTACTCACTACGAACAGTCTGTTGTGGAGTGGTGTACCTGTCGGGTCTCCGGCGACTCCGTGAGACTGAGATGAATTCTGGATTACAGGAACCGCGCCGCCTCTCCCCGTGAATGACACGATATGTCAACATCACGGTGTGCTCAATCTGAGTTCTGACGGGGCGTTTGCGGTTTGGCTTTGGGGGCCCCCGTCTGCGTCTCGACGCATGAGGCACCTCAGTACTTGCGCCGCCGGGGCGAGGTCGCCCTTTGCTGTGTAGCTCCGGATGCGAGCGAGCTCGCTGCCGAGCAGCCCTACAGCATGACATGCCGAGGAAGATCTGTGGGCTCAACCGGGGCCTCTTTCCAGCGCGAGGAGCGCGCTGACCGACGCGACTGTCGCGCACTGTGCCTTGGTTGTGCGTGACCACCTGTGTCCACGCCTCCGACGCGCCCGGCATGGAGTAGACGGCGATACTGGCGCGCTGCCGCTCGACCTCGGAGACGGTGGTGATGAGGGCTCGCAGCGAGTGGAAGGCAGGCGCGACGACCACGACTGAGGTCCTGTCGCAGCAAGGCGATGGAGACGCAGTGAAGTAGCGCCATCACCCTCTCGGCGTGTGGATGGGTCCGCGCACCACCGTCGGCGCGTGCACTCCTTGACGAGCTCCCTCGCCTCATTGAGCGTGTGGATCTTCGCCTTGAGACACACAGGAGGTTGCTCTAACGGTCAAGCAGGCTTGTCAAGTCCTACCGGGGCTGTCTGGCGACACACCTCGCCAGCGGGGAAAGGCACACCGCACAGCAGCCCGCGCGCCGTGAACTCTTCGATGCCCGCGGGGCTCTTGTCTAGTAGCACCCCCTGCCCGATCGTCCCCTCCACTGTCCTGCCGACTGCCGCGAGGCGCTGTCGCCACTGCAAGAGCGAGCTGCGACGCCGACTGTGGTGCGACCAGTCGAGCACGCCTCCGCTGCGCGGCTGCTGCCTCTGTCCTTCTGCTGTGACGGAAGTGGAGGGACCGTGCACCCACTCGAAAATCTCGTCCATCTGATGAAGGATGGGGGCGAGCACGTCTCTGGCGACGTGCCTCGAGACGAGGTCGAAGCCCGCATTGCCCGCGCCGTGAGTGTCGTTCTCGGACGTTATGAGCAGCACGGGAAGGAAGAGTTGCATTGTGCAGAGCACCACCTCCGTCCACAGTGCCCGCCTCGCCTGAGTGGTGTGCGCGCTGCTGCCACCTCCGAGTCGCTCGGTCAGCATGCGTAAGGCCTTCTCCAGCGGACTTGGTGGCTGCTTCTCGGCCCTGGTGGCGTTGATGATGCTCTTTGCCAGCGCAAAGAGGCGCGGGCCCAGCCGCTCGCCGACGAGGTGAAAGTGCTCCCGCACGCGATCGGTCTCGCACGACTCGTTGGTCGGGAACTCAGCGAAGAAATAGAGGCCGTCGAACGGGCAAAGCTCCTTCTGCAAGACGTTGCGGTCAGTTGGATCGCGCTCGCCGCTCGCGTGCTGGTGCAGGCGGCTGACAAAGTCAAGCATCTCCTCTTCGCTTGGCTCGTCGGGCTCGACTGGCGTGCGGATCGCGCACAGGGCTGCGCCGTCTGAAAAATTCCAGATCGCAAGTTTGGTGAGCGCGTCATTGTCAACCTCATCATCCCCCATGCTGTCTTCACCATCACGTGGCAGTGCATGCGAACGGCGGCGGCGTAGACTGTAGTGCGCGACTGCCAGCGCAACCAGCCAGTAGAGCGCGTTCCCAGCCGCCCCGCGCGCGATGCTCATCATGATGTTGTTCGTCGGGAGACGGAGTGTCCGTCGTGCGTCCTTCCGAGGATCAGATAAAAGAATTTAAAGGCAGTCGCACAACACTGGGCACGGGACTGGCGCGCACTGGCACTAACACAGGTACAACCACGCTCCACGGGAGCCGCCTAAGCGACTCCTGCGAGGGCGGCGAGGCACTTAGCTCCGTGCACCCGCCCACCCCCGCCACAGATAAAAGAATTTGCAGAACCGTGGCAGAAGCACAGATACAAGAATTTACAGATACAAGAATTTCACGATAAAGTTAAAGAATCCACTCCAGGTGCGGCGGTGCCGGTGCCGGTGCCGCCGCGCGCCAAGCTCTAACCGTGCGCAAGCTCCAAATCCGCGAACCGCAGGGGCGTGGCACTCTGTCTCTCGCCTGCGCCTACCTGCTCCCTTAGCCCCGTGCATTCAGACCGGCCCCAGCCGTACGCAGCGCCAGTGGCCGTGGCGGCGAGGCTCGAGGCGCCCCCCGCAGCTATCTCGACCACCCTCGTCCCTCGCAGCGTTTCAACGACGTCCGGCACTGAGGTGGGGAGCGCCTCGCTCTCGTTTTCGAAGTTGCGCCCAAGCTCGCCGTATGCGGAGTGGCCAAATGAGTAAACCCCGCCCTCCTCGCTAAGCACTAGGCTGTGGCCCGATCCTCCCGTTTGCAGGCTCCCTCCCGCCGAAATGCCCACCACCCGGACGCCACCCAGCGATTCAATGAGTCGCGGCACCGCTTCGTCCGCAAGGGTCATGGAGTGAACCATAAGATCACGATGTCCATACGCATCAGTCGTTGCAAGAGCTCTCTGCTGCGCACGAATGCGTGCGTTGATCTGCATGCCGTCACTCGTGAACTCATAGAGTGTCGAGTGGTGGTCTCTGCCATTGCCCAATTCACCGTCGCTGCCGTTGCCAAACGCGTACACGTGGCCCTGCTCGCTGAGAACCAGGCTGTGGCCGAGACCCCCCGACACTGCAACCACGTTAACCCTTCGCAGAGCCTCATTGATTTGCGGCGTCCACTGCGGCGTGAAGCGAGACGTCCTCCCTCTAGACGACGACCGGCGCGTCGCCCCCCCGCCACCAAGCGAGTACACGTGTTGTGCCTCGCTGAGCAGCAGGCTGTGGTACGCACCTGCTGCAACCGCAACCACCCTGACGCCTTGAAGCGAGTCGATGACGCGGGGTGTCAGTTGGAGGCGCTCTGTCACCTCTTGCTGCGGCTGGTGCCAGTCACGCGACGGGACGAAGAGAGAGTCTGGGTCGTGCCCAATCTGCCCGCCATCTCCTGCACCGAAGGAGTACACCTCGCCTGCCGCGCTCAGCACCAGGCTGTGATTGACGCCCCCCGAGGCCGCAACCGCCCGCACGCCGCGCAGGGACTCGATGACCCGCGGCGTGTGCTGATCAGCCTCGTTGCCATGGCCAAGTCCCCCACTCTCGCCTAGGCCGAAGGAGTAGACCGCGCCCGCCTCGCTCACCGCCAGCGTGTGAGCGTATCCCGTCGCCACGGTGCGCACACGCACATCCGCGAGCCCCGCCACCGGCCTCGGCACCACCAGCACCGAGTCTCCACCGATGACTTGCAAATCTTCATCATCCAGCTCGCTGTGCCCCAGAATGGGCTGAGGGTTGTCGCGGAAAGAGTGCGTGCCGCACGTCATGAGCCGCCCCTCCTCGCTCACGAAGACGCTGTGGTAATCTCCCGCCGCGATCTTGTTCTGCCGCTGGAAGCGGTCGCGTCGCTCGCCCCGGCACAGAGCCTGCACCATCGTCTCGCGCCGCCGTCGCCCCGATGGCAGCGGCACCTCGCCACCGCGCCGCGCCGTCCGCTCCCGCATCGCCGCCTCAAAGAACGCGGGGCTGTGTAGGTCCCGGCACGTGCAGGCGAGGCGAGCGACAGCCTCCACGCGCGGCAAACGCACGGCGATCCGAATCAGAACATCGATCGGCAGATCGACGAGGCCCCGCGTCGCGATCGCCGCCGCCGTCGACGCCGCCGCCGTCGCCGTCGACGCCGCCGCCGGGGCGGGCAGGATGCTCATTATTGATTGCTCTCAGGTGCTCGGCGGCTGCTCGGAGCGCGGAGTTCTTTTTCTCACGGCGTATAGCAGAAAAGCTCGTAGGGAAAGACCCCAGATTGGCATCCATGCCTCTCTGGACAGGGTGGCCCGCCACAAGGACCCCAGGAAATGCGCCGCTTTCCTCCCTGTGAGCTCTGTGTCTTGCCGCTTTCCTCCCTGTGAGCTCTGTGTCTTGATTTGCCAACACCAAACCAGAAAAGAAAAGGCGGGCCACTGCGATGCGGGATGCGCTCGCTAACGCGTGACGCAGCAGCAGCGGGAGCACAACGATGCCCGCGAGAAGCTCTGCTGCGGAGGAGAGCTGCGCTCAGCAGGAGAGCTGCGCCCAGCCGGCCGCGGCTGCTGATGATGACACCAGATCGCTCCTCGCCGAGGGCCTCAGGGTCGGCAACATCACGCTGCCCACCGCCCTCGGCAACGTGGCCGAGTACCTGCCAGTCTGCACCGGCATCGCGCTGGTCGGTCACCTTCCCGGCGCCAGCACCGCCGCCGACCTCGACGCGCTTGCGCTCGCCCGCTGCTACTTCAACATCGTCTGCATGGCTCCGGGCTTTGGGTACATCTCGGCGCTGCGCACGGTCTGCCCGCAGGCGGTCGGCGCAGGCAAGCCGTGTTCGCTTCACTACCAGCGCGCTCTCATTCTCATCATGGTCGGATTCCTGCCGGCCCTTCCATGCCTCCTGTGGTCGGAGCAGGTCATGGTTGCCGCTGGCCAGCCGCCGGACCTAGCGGCTCGCGCTGCGCCGTACGCGCTGCGCCTCGCGCCGTCGTACTTCGGCGTCGTCGGCATGTCGGCGACCCAACGCATCTTTCAGGCGCACGGCTATAACTGGGCCAACCTCGCAATCACCCTCGCCGTCTGCGCCCTCGCGCCGGGGCTGCAGTGGCTGCTCGTCCACCGACTGGGCCTCGGCTACTTGGGCGCAGCGTGGGCGCAGAGCCTGTACAACTCGCTCTACCCGCTCGCCCAGGTGCCGTACCTCGTGTGGCGTGGGCACGGGCGCTGTTTCGTCCCTCAGCCGCCGAGCCAGCTGCTCCGGCGCTCGGCGCTCGTCGAGCACCTCAAGCTGGTGGCGGCCGGCTTCTGGATGGTTGTCCTCGAATGGTGGGTCTGCGAGGCCATCGTGATGCTCTCTGGCCTCCTCGCGCACCCGGTCGCTTGCATCGGCGCCTCGACTGTGGTCGCAAACCTGCAGGCTCTCGGCTGCATGGGATGGATCGGCGTCGCCGTCGCCGCGTCGACGACGGTGGGACAGTACGTGGGCGCGGGCAGTGTCCACCTCGCCCGCCGCGCCGCAGCGCTCTCGCTCGTGATCGGTTGTGCCTTGGCGGCGACGGCGGCGGCGTCGCTGGTGGCGGGTGCCACGCCAATCGCGGGACTCTTCACTACCGACGGCGCCATCTCGGATCTCACCGCCGCGCTCATGCCGCTTCTCGGCGGAGTGGTGCTCGTCGACGCGGCCAACAACGCCCTCGGCGGCGTCTGCTCGGGCCTGGGACTGCAACGCTGGTCGGCCGCGGGACAGCTGGTCGGCTATTACCTGGTCGGGATGCCAGCGGGGTGCGCGCTCGCTTTCGGCGCCGCCCACCGCGCAGAGCGGGGCATCTTCTTCCTGTGGGGCGGCGTCGGGCTCTCCATGCTGACGGCAGCCGCCGTGCAAGCCACCGCCATCCTGAGGCTCGACTGGAGCGTGGCTGCACGAACTGCCGCGAGGCGGCTCGCCAAGGACGAAGACGCCGCAGCCGTCCTCCCGGCGTCGGAGGGGGGCGCCGCGCCCGCCCAGGAAGGCGGCTCGTCTGGGACTCAGCGCCAGGACGGAGTTGGTGGGGGCGGTGCGGGGGGGGCTTGCGCGCCCGAGCCATCGTCGCTTGCGCAGCGACTCCTGCCAGCGCCACGAGGAGCGCCTCCGTGACACATGGCCCGCTTCATACTACTTGCCAGTGGGTGGCCGGGTACTACATTTATTGCAAAAAGCAAAATTGTGCTGTATAATGTGCTAAAAGTTCGTACAACGACCGAACGAGACTTTTGTCTTTTCTCCCATTATGCATTTTAAGCCGGTAAATAAATAAAAACTAAAAACGGACACCTCTCTACTGTAAGGTGGGTAAAAAAGAACAGTTCCCCGCCCTTCCGGGTTCTTGGTGGGTGTGGTCGGCGACTAGCCGGGGTCGTCCTCCCGATGGTAGCCCGGGGACTAGCACTAGCCGTCTTCCACATGGTCCCTCGGGTCCCTGCTGCTCCTAATCTCTTCGTACATCCTCCTGCTGATCTCCGCAAAGTCCTGCTCCCTCCCTCGTCTCGCCCTGCGCGTCTGCTCCGCCTCACCGTCTTCTGCCCTGCGTCGTCTGGCGACGGGTCCTCCAAAGTCGGTCGAGGTCGCCGCCCTCCTCGTGCCTCTTCCGTTCCCTCGGCGGCCGATGCCGTCTGCTCCGGCTCCCCAGTCCCCGGGTCTGCCCTGCTCTCGTCTGCGCTAGTTTCTGCTTCGTCACCACCGGCGTCTCTCCTCTTCCTTCTCCCCTTCTTGTATGCTTTGCACATCGCGTCGATTCCTTTTCGTGTGAGCACCAGCCTGAAGCCCGCCCAGCAGCTGAACCGCTCCCTAAGTCGAAGGAGCATCATCAGTCTCACCCACTTAGCTCGCTGCCCACCGTCTCCGCTCCCTCCCGCTTGAGCCGCCGTCGCGGCCCTCGTTCGTCCCACTGGCTGTTGGCCCGTCCCTGCGTTGCCTGCGTTATCATTAAGCCAGTGTGCGTGTGTGGGACTTCGCTTTTCGGCACTTCGGCTTCATATCTCCCCCCACTGTACGAGCGCCAGCGCGGAAAAGCCCGGACGGCCGCACCCCATGCATCCACCATGACTGCCTTGGACGCTAGACCGCGACGGTACTAAGCCTCAGCGCGCGGGGCTCTCAGCTTCCCACTGATGCAGGTCGTCGCCAAGGATGCCCGCCTTGCTGGCCTGCCAGACGGCGCTGCTCCCAGCCGCGCGCTTGGCGCCGGAGAGCGCCGAGACGCTGCGCGGCGCTGCCTCAAACGCGCTACAGCGCGAGTACTTGAAGGTATGGCCAAAGGGGTCGTCAATCTTGTAGTCGTCGGCGGAGCCCTCGATGGCGCCCTCCCCCTGCGCCTCCGTCGTGATCTCCTTGGACTTGAAGGACGTCTGCCGCCACCACAGCTCGCGGTAGCAATCCTTCTTGCCGTCGACAGCTATGGCGTCGCCGTCAAAGGACTGGCCAATCAGCCCGTGCGGCGCCACCACCCTGCCCGTCTGAGGGTTGGGTGCGAGCGGGTCGCGCAGCGGCACCAGCGAGAGGTCGATCTGCCGCTTGCGCAGCACACGACGGAGCGGGCTATCATGCGCGCCGTTGCCTCGATCTTCCAGGCGGCGGTGCGCACCTCCAGCACCTGCTGACCGCTGCGGCTGCTCTCCGACACCGACGCCGAGACGTCGTCTACTGCAAAGGGTGGCTCATCTGCTCGAAGGGTGCGCGCCTTGCCGGTTTCGTAGTAGACGACTGGCCAGTTCGGCTTCTTGTTGGGCGTGATCTCGATGCGCACAGACCTGCTGCCCTGTGGGAGCACTGCGAGTCCTCCCATAGGAGCGGTGGGGGCGACGGAGGCGCCGGCCGCTCCGGTGGCGATGGCGGGGACGACGGAGGCCCTGGGAGCGTCGGAGGCGACGGCGGTGTTAAGGGAGGGGGAAGATTCATCCATGTAGCTCCAATCTCCCCGTGGGAGCACGGTGCCGACGGCGTGCATGTCTCTCTCAGGTCCTCGGACTCGAGCGCGCTGTAAACCGTGCAGACACCTTTGCCCGTGCCGTCTTGCGAGTAGAGAAAGTAGTCAACCTCCCTCGTGTTGCCGACCCTTGCTGCCATGCAGCAGTTATCCCAGGACGGGATGTCGGTGTAGCGCTGGAGGAGCTCCCCCACCGGCAGGGCCAGCCCGGCTGGGGAGGGAAGGCCGGGGAATGGCTGGCGTCCATCAGCAAACGTGCGCGAGGAGCAATACGAGCCCTCCCACAAACCCTCCTCGCTCGACCCCACCTATTGGACGGACATGCGTGTCGTGGGCGGGCCAACACTCGAGTGGGGGCGCGGATTTATCTCGGCGGCTCCTCGGGCGTCGAGGTGACAGCGACGCCGAAAAAGTTGGAGGCCGATTCAGCCGAGTCCAGGGCTGCGGTGAGTGCGGCCACGGCGCTTAGCTGCCGCCTCCTCGCTGTCTGTCGTGAGGGTGACGGTGACAGTTGACTCAGCGAGGCGCCTGATAGTCGCGTGATGGGCGAAGTGCCAGAGCGTGCTGTAGGCGGGTCAGCGGGCGGGAGTTGAGGGTTCTCCGATGCGACTCACCTGCGTCGGTCGGTGCTGCACGTGACGTCGGCCCTCCCATGCTCGTTAGGCCCACGACCTTGCGCTGCGCAGCCATCTGACAGCGCGCCATGCAGGTTTCAGCCTCACGCAGCGCGCTCCTGCAGCAGCCTTGGTCTCGACAGCCTCGGCCGCTGCCTCCGTTCCCGCTCTCGCCACCGCTGCCGCGTCCCGGACTGCCACTATCAGCCCGCAGCAGAGGTCGCTCGAGGAGCGGTTCGGCGCCTTCCCGCGCACCTGGGTGCCGATCGCGTCCACCTTTGAGCTCGAGCCCGATCGGCCGACGCCAGTAAAATTTCTCTCGCAGGATTACGTCGCGTTCCGCGACAACAGAGGCGAGTGGCGCGTGATGGACGACGCGTGCCCGCACCGCCTCGCGCCGCTGAGCGAGGGCCGCATCGACCGCGAGAGCGACCGCATCGAGTGCGCATACCACGGCTGGTCCTTCGAGCCGTCCGGGGCGTGCGCGCGCATCCCTCAGGCCAGCGAGTCGGTCGCCGCGGGCGCAGTGCCGTCGAGGCGCGCATGCGTCGCCTCGTACCCCACGCGCGAGCACAAGAGCGTCCTCTGGGTGTGGCCGTGGGAGGAGGACTGCCTCACCGTCGCCGGCGACCTCCGCGCCCAGCCCGAGGGGTTTCTGCGCGGCGTTGCGCACGACGCCTCCACGTACACTCGCGACCTACCCTACGGGTGGGACACGCTCCTCGAGAACATCGTCGACCCCGCCCACATCCCGTTCGCTCACCACGGGCTGCAGGGAAAGCGCGACGATGCCATCGCGATCAACATGACCAGCCCAATCCCCATCCACGCCGCCGACGCCGCCGACGCCGACGCTGACGGCGGCGGCGGCGGCGGCGGCGGTGGCGGCGACGCGGCTTCGGGCGTGCGCGGCTTCTGGTTCGACTTCGGCGACCGGACGATGGGCAAGCGCCGCGCCGGCGTCGGTGCGTTCCGCGCGCCGTTCGTGGTCGCGTACAACGCCGACTACGAGGCCCAGTACGACAAGAAGGGCCGGCCGAGGCCGTCGCGCCCTTTCAACCTGACTGTGGTGTGCGTGCCGACAAGCGCGGGCCGCTCGAGGGCAATCATCTTCGGCGGGAGCCAGCCCGAGACCAAGGAGGCGAGGCGGGCGAGGCGGCGGCAGCAGGCGACGGAGGGGGCGGAGGCGGCGGAGGCGGCGGACAAGAAGCCACCCTCGTCGCCGGCAAGTCTCCTCTTCAAGCTGCTCCCCGTGTGGCTCGGCCATCTCTTCTCGAACCGCTTCCTCGACTCGGACCTGGCCTTCCTGCACTACCAGGAGCAGATCTGGGGAGATCTGGGGAGATATGGGGAGATATGGGGAGACTCGGACCTGGCCTTCCTGCACTACCCAGGAGCAGATCTGGGGAGATATGGGGAGATCTGGGGAGATATGGAGAGACTCGGACCTGGCCTTCCTGCACTACCCAGGAGCAGATCTGGGGAGATATGGGGAGATCTGGGGAGATATGGAGAGACTCGGACCTGGCCTTCCTGCACTACCCAGGAGCAGATCTGGGGAGATCTGGGGAGATATGGGGAGATATGGAGAGACTCGGACCTGGCCTTCCTGCACTCCCCAGGAGCAGGTCGTGCGCACGCGCGGTGGCGAGGCGGCGGGAAGCTACTTCATGCCCACCCAGTCGGATCGCTGTATCGCGGCGCTGCGCCGCTGGCTGAGCAGTCACGCGCCATCCGGGCTGCCGGTGCCGGGCCCCGCACGCGGGGGCTCGGCGGGGCGGCATTTCTTTTTATTGCGACGGGTTTCATTTTTAGGCCTCCTCCGCATCGGGCCCCCACGCGGGGCTCGGCCCTCTTCCGCCGCCCATCTACAGCCGCGACGCGCTCTTCGACCACTTCACGCAGCACACGAGCCATTGCAGACACTGCCAGGCCCGCCCCGCCTCGGACCACCTCGGACCACCTCGGACCATCTCGGACCATCTCGGGTGAGCGCTGCGCGCACTACCAGGCCGCCGTCTCCGCCCTCGCCGCTTGGCGCAAGCGCACGTACCGCGTGCTCGCCGCGGCGCTGCTCCTCGGCGTTCGCTTCTGGCTGGCGCGGCTGGTGGGCGTCGCTTGTTTGGGCCTGCTGCGTCTGTACGTCGTGGTCGAGAAGCAGTTTCAAGTGGGCGAGTACAAGCACTGGCAAAACCACTAGGCCGGACTCGTGGAGGCAGGGGCTCGCGAGAGCACCGCCCCACGGCCCCACCCGCAACCGAGACTATGGCGCTCTTCACGGGACGGCGGCTGGGCTTTGCGGTTTGCGCGGCCCCCCGGAGTTCTCCATCTTTTGTGATTGGCTGATATAGTCGGCTCTTCCCAAGTATACCAAAATGTGATGCGTGAAGTGGGACATGTAGTTGCCGAGCTCGCTGTCTGTGACCTTTTACTTCGGGGGGTGCACTGCTTGATGATGACGCGATGTGCACACTACGAGCTCCCCTCAAAAGTCAACACCGAAAACGGTACGCCGTACGCAGTGTCCAGTGACGAAAAAGCCGTGACCCGTGTGGTTGCGTGTATTTTACACCTCGTCAACGAAATAGCACCACCCCGAGAAAGACCACAGAGCGCACAGCGGATAGAGCTCGCTTAGAGGCCGAAGCCGCCTATCGGGCAAGAGCTACAGGAAGCGACCGATGTTCCTCATCGTGAGAGATTCGAATCTCGCCATGAGGGCGCCGTCGCCCATTGGGTTCTCGCTGAGGTCCAGCGCGCCGATCTTGTTTTGCAGGGTCCGCTTTAGCGCCGGGTGTGCGCGCACGCCCTCCTGCAGGGCCTCGACCAAACTCTCAAGCCCCGCGTCGCTGATGCGGTTCGCGCCGAGCCGGAGCTCTGGCAATCGAGGCAGCAGCACGGGCAAAGCGCCGAGCAGCCTGTGGACGAGCCCTCCGAAGCCAACGTCGCCGATGCCGTTCGTGCGGAGCGAGAGGAGACGCAGCCGGCCAATCGGCGCGCGGGAGAGGCAGGCGCCGAGGTGGAAGAGGGCGCCGTCGCCGAGCCGGTTGTTGTCGCAGTGGAGCTTGCAGAGCGCGGTCGGCGCCGGCGCCGCCGCGCCGCCGTGCGCCGCCGCGCCGCCGCCTCCCTCCTGCACCGCCTCGACGAGCGACCGCAGCCCAAGGTCCGTGATGTGGTTGCCGCACAGAAAGAGCGTCTCCGTCCACCGGAGCGCTCCGGAGCCGATCGCGCGAGCCAGCTGCGCCGTCGCATCGTCCCCCAGGCCGTTGTTGCGCAGCGAGAGGTGGCGCAGCCCTGCCGCGGGAGCTAGGCGGTGGGCGTGGAGGAGCAGCCGGATCTCCTCGAGGCGCAGCGAGCACTTGGCTAGGGCGAGCGACCTCCGCGCGGCAACAAAGGCCGACCACCTCTCGCGCGCGCCGTAGAGGTTGGCGCCGGCAGTCTCATGCCCACACGCCTTTCGGAAGAGCGCGTCGAGGCCGCGCTCCAGCCAGCCGTTCACAAATGGCGCCATCGAGTCCCGCATTGCGCTGCAGGAGGACGCCAGCGACACGAGACCGGCCGCCGGGAGGACAGCGCCGAGGAGCTCAGCGGGCAGGCTGGCGAGACAGGCTGTCTCGTCCACCGTGGCTTCCTCGCATGACCCAAGCATCTGCACCGTGCTGTGCCCGTCCGCCGCCACGGCCGGACGCGCGTCGGTGGCGCCCACTCTCGTCGAGCAGGCCGCCGCGGGCAAGCACGTCACGGTGGGAGAGCTCAAGGGCGAGCGACTCCTCGCCAACTCCAACAAAGCAAGCACTCCCCCCCCCCGCGACCGCACCTCCAAGCACACGGGGTGCTAAGCCAGAATGCCATCCGAGCACGCTCGGTTGGCAGCAGCATCCTCGGGGACAAGGAAAAGCGGTCTCGGGCACCGCACCCGTGCTGCCACAAAGCACAATGTGCTGCCACAAAGCACCACTAGCAATTTCGCGCGGAGGGCGTAGTGAAGTGCTGGGGCGCTCACTGTGTGTCATTCGGGTGGGGATCCATCAGTGGTAAGCGGCTTTAGTCACAGATCCAAGCTCAGACGTCACACCAACACCACGTGGGGGGCGTCCACGCCGCCGCCTAGCTCTGCGGACGGGCCCCTCCACCCTTCACGTACGGATCACATGCACATGCACATGCACATGTGCATGTGCATGTATGTAGTCCCCACAATCGCTGTCGTGGGATCGCTTGTCACGAACGCAGTGCGAGCGCCGCGTGACTTGGCGGGAGGAGAGCGAGGAGAGGAGGGCGATAACACCTTTCGGCATGGGCTGTCTCCGCTGTACTCGCCACAGCGGCGGCCCGCCGACCGGTAAAAAACTAAGAAACCTCTCCGGCAAAGTTGCCCGCCAAAGAATTTTACAACAAAGCTCAGTCAGCCAACCACCGCCTGGGTCCTCGGGGAGGCCTGCGGGCGGCCTTCTCTCGAAGTCTCGAGATACACAAAGCGGCCAAGGCGAAAAGAATTTAAGACAAGCGCGAAAGAAGTGGGTGCAGACTGCAGTCTAAGTAGGGCGCATCTTAGATGATGCATATTATCTCAAGACGCGCATATATCATCTGTAGATGGGGGGGTCGCCGCCCCTGACGTTTAGCCCTTACTGTGTATTAACTTCTAGAAGAGGAAGGTCACACCGAGCGCCGTGCGCCCCAACCGAGGTTGTACTGCAGCTTACGCATCATCCCGCTACGCTCTTTTGCCGAGCCTGATCTCTCCCCCTGCTCAAGCTTCTGCATCAGTTCGCTCACTTGCGCCTCCAGCTGTGCCAGTTTAGCGTCCTGCTCCGCGAGCCTGCGCGTCTTGACCTCTAGTGCTGACGCGAGCGCGTCATACTCCGATTTGGGCACGAGCTGCTGTTTGCTGGGCAGCACCGATGCCGACGACACATCGGCGTGCGTCGTCGGCTCACTGGCTTCTTCGCGAGCGCACATCTCGCTGAGGCCTTGGAACGCCCCAGCTGCCCCTGCCGCGACAAAGAGCGCCTTGATGCGCTGGTCGAAGGTGAAGATCTTCTTGAGCTGGTCTTCCTTATCGCTCATGTTCGTCACGAGCACGTCTGGGTTAGAGAGCTTCTTGTGCGCACTGTGCGTCGTGCAGTGCGACCACTCCTGCACCAAGGAGTGCTCGAGCGCAGGCGGCGCGCCGTGGATGCAACGAATGGTGTAGCGCTGACGATTCTTGGGCGCGGAGACGAGGCCCATCGGCGAGGCCTCCTGCATGCTCAGCCACGCCTCGTATTGCGTCCAGAATCGAGAGAGGTACGAGCGGTCCATCAGGATGAGGACCGACGCCCCGAGGTAGAGCAGGTTGATGTTGGGCAGCACCGCGTCGAACTCGATCTTTTCCGCCTCCGTGCGCCGCCCCTGCGGCATCGACATGTAGCTGCGGCGGGGGGTGGGGTGGGGGGGTGGGGGTGGGGGTGGGGTGGGGGGGGGGGGGGGGTAGTTTTGACAGTGGCCCGGGGCGTGCGGCCGTCACGGATCGAGGCTACTCAGCCATGGGGGAGGGGGGCGAGTTCAGATCTACTCGCTGCACTCGAAGAAGACCAGCTTGATCCGTAAAGCAGCTCTGATGCAGCCATGGTGACCTGCGTGCGCGGGGACGGCAAGGGTCGCGCCGCAGCCCGTGCTCACCGGGGGCTCAGTCTCGATGGGGAGTGGGGGGGAAGAGAGAGAGCAGCCGGCGTACCGGCGATGCGAGACGACATTGACAGTTGGAGCCGCCCGCGGCTTGCAGAGCGTTTGAAAGTTGTCGAGCTACGTGCGCATGTCGCGGGCGACGCCCGTCCGCAGCTGACACGTCGTGGTGACGATGATGGCGAGGAGCATCACGGTGGAGAGGAGCCCTCCCGCCGCTGCCTGGGGTCGCTCGAGTTAGCGGTGTGGGCATGGGCGCGGCACGGCAAAAATCTTGTATGAATCAGGGCTTCAGAGGTCCCCTGTGCCACGTGGGACGTGGTTCGTCGAGTACTCGCTCGCGCTCACCGCCTTTGCGGTGGGCTGGCTGGTGCGCCCTCCGCCTCCCCCATTCCCGCCGTGCCCGCTCACACACGCCTCCTACCCGCCTCCTTCGCGCCGCTCCCTCGGACCTCCCGCCCCCTCCCTCGCGCACTCCTCCCCCCACGCCACGCCACCCCTCCCACCTCGCCCCCCTTCCTCACCGCTCGCCCCTCCCCTACCCCCACGCCACAGCTGCTCGTCGCTACCGAGTCGCTCATGCACTGCCGCCCCGAGGAGCAGCCGGTCGCAGAGCCGCCGCACGGCAGCCGAGCCAGCCGGGCGAGCAGGACGGAGCGGTGGTGCGGGGGCGCGCCCGGCGTGCATGCAGCATGGCGGGGGTTCGGGCTCCTTGCCGTCTAGCTAGGGTTCTTCAACAAAATTTATTTTCCTTCCATATTAATTAAATAAATCAAGAAAAATAATTGCGACCGCTCGCACAGCACGTCGCGCAAGGCCCTACCGGGGGCGTTCACGCTGTGTGCTCGAGCAGATGGCCTCCCACCGCATCGGCGCCCGCGTCGCGGGCCTCTCGCCAGCGCAGCTGTGCGCCATCATCGAGGCGCAGGCGGGCGCGAGCGACGCCGCGCTGCGCGTGGCGGAGGAGCACGCCGCTCGGCTCGTAGAGCAGCCCGAGTGGGTGCTCTCCGAGGTCCTCCTCTCGCCGGACCTCGCCCCGCACATCCTCGCCCAGCTGCCGACCACGGAGCACGCCGCCAAGGGGACGTGCCGCGCGTGGCGCCGCGGCTGGAAGGAGACGCTGAAGAAGCGCGAGAGGCCGCGCCTGGTCGTGATCGGCGGCCACGACAGCAACGACGAGGTTGTCAACTCGCTGGAGCGGTACGACCCGTCCACGAATGTGTGGGAGCAGGAGGCTGTGGCGCCGATGCCAACGGCACGACTAGTTGTCGGCACGGCGATGCTCGACGGCAAGCTCTATGTGGTGGGCGGCCTCAATCTCACTAGCGGAGAGCCTTCCAACGCAGTCGAGCGGTACGATTGGGCAACGAAATCGTGGGAAGCGGTTGCGCCGTTGGCGTGGGCGCGGGAGGATCTCGGTGTTGCGGTGCTCGACGGCAAGCTGTATGCTGTCGGCGGCAACAACGCCGACGAGGTCGGCCTCAGCTCGGTCGAGCGGTACGACCCGGCGCTGGATGCGTGGGAGGAGGTGGCGTCGATGGCGGAGGGGCGGGATACTCACGCTGTGGCTGTGCTCGACGGCAAGCTGTATGCTGTGGGCGGGATCTATGACGACGAGGTCAGCTCGGTGGAGCGGTACGACCCGGCGACGAACGCGTGGGAGGGCGTGGCGCCGATGGGTTCGGTGCGGCAGGGCCCCGCTGTGGCGGTGCTCGATGGCAGGTTGTACGCAGTGGGTGGTGCTGAAGTGGGTGGGCGGGCCGACAACTTCAGCTCTGTCGAGCGGTATGACCCCGCGACGAACGTGTGGGAGGCAGTGGCACCGATGACGATGGCACGCTTCGCCCCCGGCGCGGCAGTGCTGTGCGGCACGCTGTATGTTTTCGGCGGCGTGAGCGTCGACACCGTCGGCCCGATGAACACAGTCGAGCGGTACGACCCGGCCGCAAATGCGTGGGAGGCGATGGCGCCGATGACGACGGCGCGGCGCTGTCCCGGAGTCGGGTTGCTGTAGTCGTGTGTTGTGATGCATACGTGTCTGTCCCCCGCCAACGCCCTGGGGTCGTGGCGATGTGCCTCTCGGCGTCAGGGCGCCAACCCAGGAGATTTACAGTTGTAGTCTCGTAGTCTCATCGCAAACCCTGTCAGCACACAGCACTCAGCAGAGTCCTCCTGTGCGGGTTACGGGAATGTACGTAAGAGCCACATATACACGCATACACCGTCACCGAAAACAGCTTGCAGTTAGTTAGTTAGGTAGGATGGTGAAGAGCAGTCAGGCTCGGACTGGACACCAGCGCGGTGTTGACGCGAGAAAGAAGATTTCAGCCCGCGGCTGGTCTGTTGCTCGACCGACCCCTTCGTGCGCACCCCCGATGGACGCCTTCGTTGAGCCTGTCTTTGGCGAGCGATCGCTCTTCGAGTACATCGCGTGCTTGCTTCCGTCGCAAGCGGACTGGCGAGGCTGACGCTCGCACTCCGGAGCGGCTGCCCACTTGCACAGGACGAGTTGGCAGCGCTCATGAGCCGGCACTCGATGCAGCCGCTGACGGGGAGTCAGCGGCAGATCGTCACCGACCCCGAGCTCGGCTGCAACAAGGATTGCTGGCGCATGGAGCCGGAGGGCTCCACCATAATCTACGACCACGAGCCGACCATCAATTACCCGTACCCGCTCCGTCGCCGCAAGTTCATGGCCGAGTCGAGGCAGCGCTACCAGGACGCGGTGGCGCGGGCGCTCGCACTCCGCATCCCCGGGCTCGACGCCGTGCCGCCCTTCCTCTCGCGGATCGTGCCGCTGGGCTGCGCCATGCACCACTGCAAGCTAGTCGGCCAGGAGTGCCATGTGTACTCCATCGAGTCGGCCGATGGCCCCGTCATCTTCACCTTCTCGTACGCGATCCAGTCGACGATGGGCAAGGGGTGCTGCACACACGACTGCATCTGCGACATGAATTGGACGGCCAACCTCGCCGTCCTCCTCCCCGGCGCCACCGAGGCGGCAACCATCTTCGGCGTCAGCCGGCGCACCAACTCGGGCGACTGCCTCCTCCGCCCGCCGACGACGGCGCTCTGCGAGGAGGCATCGAGGGCATGCTGGCGCGCTCGTGGCCGTGCTGGCCGAGATGTCGGGCTGGGGCGAGATGCGGCTGGGGCGAGACGTCCTCCTCCTTCTGCAAGGAGATCTGCGAGGAGTACCCGGCGCCGGAGAGGGTCGAGGGACAGAGCTACAACCCGTGCTACGACAAGTACACGCCCCGCGCGCTCTTCGAGGGCATGCACAACGCGTGGACGCACTACCTCAACTCCCTCGTCCGGCTGCAGCGCATCTCCGACTTCAAGCGGCTCAACGCGATCGGCAAGGCCGAGTTCCACATGCGCCATCCGCCGCCAGAGCCGGTGCGGCGAGAGCGCTTCAACGGCGACGTCTATTACGGCTACTCTATGCCGTATCGCGTCTCCATCAATGGGCAGGACTCGTCCACGGACACGCGCAGCTACGAGACGTTTGTGGATGACAACACGGACTGGGGCGTGACGGCCGACGACCTCGTCACGCTCACTCGCTCCTTCGGCTCGTCCGACTTCCTCGACCCGGAGCTCCTGTCCGACTTCCGCAGCACCGACCGAGCGGAGGAGAGAGTCTGGGTCTGCGCCAAGTGCCCCGAGGACTTCTTGAAGTACCGGGAGGACTGCTCCGACGGCACGTGCGAGTGCCACCCCTCCATCCGGCACGACGTGGAGGAGCTGCTGCTCGCGTCTGACCGCAGCAGCCTCGCGGCGCTCGCCGTCGACCTCGACGCTTTGGCGCCCGCCTCTCGTACGACGACCTGCTCGACGGCGCCGGCGACTCGAAGAGCATCACGCGCTGCAACGTGCGCGACAACGATGAGGAGTGGCAGCGGCGGGCGAAGGTCCGCGAGGCGGAGGAGGAGGAGCGGCGGAATCGCCCGCCGACCCCGCCGACCCCCGAAGAAGCGGCCCGACGGGACGCTTACCAAACCCGGACTAGAAAGATCATGGAGGAGGCCGGTGAGACGGAGCGGCTCCTCATGTCGGGCTTGCTTGGCCCGCCGATCCACCTCAAGGCGGTCACGCAGGACGGCAGCGAGATCTTCTTCAAGGCGCGCTCTTAGAGTGTGGCCTATTCCCGCCTTCCCCTCTAGCCTCTCTCAACTTACACTCCCTTGGGGGCTCCCCCCCCCCCCCCCCCAGATGCGGAAGACAAGCAAGTTGTCGAAGCTGATGGAGGCCTTTGCAGCCGTCCGTAGCCTGCTATACCCGTCATGACTCTACTAGCAACTTCGCATTGGGGCAGCCACATGATGACTGATGCTCTTGCTCCTCGTAGTGTGGCGGCCAGGAAATGGTTGTTGCGATCACACGGCGGCGCAAGGTAATTGATCCGGCCGCATACACATAACACAACAAGGCGCGCGGGCAACCCAGCCAACCCTTCTCCCACAAGACCGGCCACGGCTACGTCAAGGCGCATCGCGGTTTCTACCACGACGCGATCTTTGTCAAGCGCAACAACTTCAACCTGCTGCTCCACGAGACGTTCGGCGGCGGCTTCTCGCCCACCGCCGTTCTCAAGCTGCGCCGCCTCGCGCGCAAAGCCGCGCGCGGCAGCGTCGACCGCACGGCCTACTCGCCCAAGTACTCGCTTTCTTTTATGTCCCACCATGCAGAGCGCATCTCTCTCTCTGTTGTGCGAGGCGTGAACCGCGCCATTCGCTCTCACCTGGCAACCCTGTCTGCACGTCTCGCGCGCGCGTGAACAGGGCATAAACATCATTTTGCCAGGGCAGCTGTCCCCCCCCGCAAACTTTAAACCTCCATAAACATCATTTTGCAGGGGCTCCAGGCCCCAAATGACGTGTGAGTGTTAGAGTTGTTTGGTATTGCTAAAAATACACATAGGAGACCAGCCGCCAGCCAGCCGCAGAGAGTCAGAGAGATCGGGGGTCCAAAAAAGAAAGAAAAAATAGGCGTAAGTACGGTAGTTTCTTTTCGCTGTTTGTGCCAGTGCGCGCCAGTCCCGTGCCCAGTGTTGTGCCCAGTGTTGGCGCGCGTTTGGAGCACTTGGAGTGCAGTCATTAACCGCACATCCAGGGCCGGGGAGCTCAGAAGCGCACCCAGCGGGCCAGAGCTTGGGAAATTCTTTTCGCTCTTCGCGAGCGGGCACGCCACGAACACCCAAGCCCCAGACACACACTCGTCATCGCCCCGCGCCCTGCGTCATCGCCCCGCGCTGCACTTCCTCGCTGCGTCCCGTCGCGCTGCCGCGCCATCCGCCGCCCCTCCCGCTGCCGCAGGCTCCGGCTGTGCACTGCTGCGGAGCGAGAATCATGGACGACGTGGAGCCGAATGAGCAGCAGCTGAAGGACCTGCAGGGGTTCATGGAGACGGAGCAGCAGAAGGCGGTCATCCAGGCGGCGATCAACAAGCTCACCGAGACATGCTTCGACAAATGCGTGACGAAGCCGGGCGCCAAGCTCGACTCGTCAGAGGCGTCCTGCATCTCGAACTGCGCCGGGAGGTACCTCGACTCCTCCGTGTTCGTCGTGTCGCGCATGATGCAGAAGCGCGGGCAGGGTCAATAGCAGCTCCTTTTAGCACAGGATGTTATGGGTCCTCGGACCATCTCTCTATCGGGTTGGGAGTCGGTCTTGCAGCTGCGTGTCCGTGGTATTTTGGCGCACTCCTCTCGCGCGCAGCTCTCTCCCGTCCGGCTACTTTTAATGACATATTCGTCAGGAGCGCAGACGTGTGGCCTGAGGAGTTTTATGCCTGAGAAAAGCAATGCCAATGCCTCGCGACGCGCACGACCACACGTATATGAGAACGCACGATGCGGGACGTCTGCGGTCTGGGCGGCGTGCGGCTGCGGGCCCGGCGGGGCGGGGGTGTCGTGGCGCCGCGCGGTTTGGCGGTGCTGTCGGGAGGGGACACAAACACCTCAACCCGAACCGGAAGCCCGTTGCCACCGGAGTTGCAATC